GGCTGGATTTAGAGCCTATGAGAAGGCAGAACAGGAAGGCAATAAAAGCACAAGTCAGACAGGAAGAAACTCTCTCTGTGGAAGCTACTGCTGGTGGTAAGCTAAGGCTAGTTGTGGCTATTCGCTCTGATCTCTTTGGCTATTACCTCTGTATTTGGCTCTGTGTTTCTTATTTATTAAGACTGTTTAGAAATTCATCTACACTCCACTTACTAATGACAACAGAAATGTAGTATCCCATTCACACAGTTCTACAAAACAGAATAAAACCCCTTTCAGCTTCTCAGGACACAGATGCATTCACCTCAGAAGATGAAATGAGGTCAAGAGTTTGACTGAACTGTAACAGATTCTCTCAATATTTCTGCAACAGAAGCAGGGAAGTTTTACTGATGGGTCTTAAGCTGTTCCTTCCTGCAAGGAAATAAAGGAAATGTACAGATGGAGATATTGGGATAAGACAACCAGATGCCCCATCTTTGTGGCATCCTATGCAAAGGAGTGATTGAGAGCTGTGATTCAGATTTCTTAAACTGGGAATTGATCCTGGGGAGAACATCAATGGGCTTTTGAGAAAATATCAGCACTTTAAGAATTCATAATTTCATAAATGTTTCAAATTCAGTGAGGAACAACAGCTCTACCCAAGAATAAGCTTTCATCAGTGATGATCTCTTTCTTCATCTGGAAGAAGTAAATAATGAAATCAGAGTTGTCTGTCTTTCCTCTTGGGGTGGGAAATATTGATGATAATATCTTTCTACATATTTGTAGACTGTGCAGCACTGTGGAAATGGGTGTGTCTAACACACAAGCAATAATGCAACAAAGTTGTGAAACTTTCAATTTACAGCAGAGTCTTCATTCTACTTCCTAAAGTGTAAATTGAGAATATTGTATAATCTAGTCTTTAAATTTTAGATTTTGGAAGTACATACAAGCATACACAGTAACATAGAGAGGTCCTAAATTATATTCATACAAATGATTCAACTTAATAATTTTTGAAAATTTTATTTCAAGTCATTATGTATTCAGTACAATCCTTCTGTTAGGTTTTAAATGTTCAACACTTCCTGCCTTCTAGCTTGTGGTACCAGTGTTTTTGCTTGACCCTTAGCTACAGCAGCAGTAGCACCATCACCGAGGCAGCCAGGAGACCATTGAAGAAACACCCCACAAGGCACCCCATTAACCAAGCTACCTGAAACACCCTAAAATTTGTTGTAGAACTGTGGAACAGCTTTATATTAGATGGCTCTGCCACACTATTGAAAAATTTAAGTTCTAATCATATATATGCTTAGGGTTTTCCAAATACTATGTATAGTAACTTTACCTTGACTAATACTATTTCCAATCTACATGGTTTATTTGAAGTAACTCAAATGTGCATTGAAAATTTGTGTAGGTAGTAATAACTTCTTTAATAACTAAGTTAATATATTGTAATCAATATTTCCTTAATGGTTTCAAAAATTAGATTTTTTTCCTGATATAGTCCAGGTCACATGTAGGTCTGCCTGAACACAAACTTGCAGTAGGAGATGACCTTGAACTTCTGGCATTCCTGTTTCCTACTCCCAAGAGCTGGGATTACAGGAGTGCACCAGGATGCAATGTTCATGCAATGCTAGGTCTCTAACCAAGGGTAAAGTTTTAATAGTTTTAATAGGCAAGAAGTCCATAAATTAAGCTACTTTCAAAAAATAGTTTGTTACCTCATAGGAGCAAGAACTGAACTGCATATGTATGTGCCCTGCATATATTTATGCCTTATAGACTACACCTTATTCTCCCTAATGCTGCTCATCATTCACAGGAAGAAACAGTTGCATTTTAGGTTCATAAGTTTTGCTGAGCACATTACAATTCCCATTAATGATTGTCCATAATTTTTTCTGGGCTCCACATGAACAAAGACCCAACCCTGTCCTCTTTCTAACAATTTCTCCAGTAGGAGGAGCCAATAACACATGTTTATCCAATCAAGATCACCAGCCTTTGGACTGCTATCCAGTAACAGTAACTGTAACATTAAGAACAAAAGAAGTTTCCAGTTTCTGATTCACTTGCCATCCAGCATTTTTTTCCTAGTCCCTCTCCACTTATGTGAGAGTGGTCTGGGCACATTTTGTATCCATAGTTAGCCAGTGGGAATGGGAGATCCTGACAATTCCTTGTTTTGTAGATGGAGACAAGCCTGTCCTGGGACACTAGTCCTGAACAATAAACTTCCTGGATCTAGTATCATACCTGTTTCCTTTTCCTTTCATCCATTGTAGTCCAGAACAGAGCTGATGCAGCTGCTAGAGTGCAGATTCTTGTCACCTGAATGGAGGTTGCTGGTTAGCATCTTAAAAAGTTTCCAAAGTTGAGAATATAAAGGCCATAGGAAGAAATCTGTCAGTATGCCTGAGAGAAAACATTTGACATAATACAGCTGACATGGAATATCTCCACTGTCATCTCAAAGTATCATTATATGAATGGGAAAGACAGGCAAGGTGTGACTTTTCACTGGTTATTGAGACATCTCTTTTGGTATTTTTTTTCTATTTTGAATATTGCTAATGGTATGAATCTATGGAAATGAATTCTTTTTTATTCTTTCAAGGCAGTTACTTCCAACAGTGAAATAAATTATTATTTTGATATATTCTGTATGTTTGTGGGCATAACATAGTTGCTTAACCAAAACATACACACATGGTATCAGTTTCTTAAATATATTAGTATTAATGGATATAATCAGGACATGGGGCATATATTTGTCTCTACTGCAGACTTTTTGATATATCCCTCAAAGCAAACACTATGACCACATACTCCAGTCACTTTTTTTTCTTTGACTTTTTAGGTCAACCAGTATCTTAATGTATCCACTTATTCTTTTTGAGACAACTCAAAATGTTTATCATCCTTTCCAGGCCCTGTGTAGGTGTCATTCCAACCCTGACAGATCTCTGTCTCCTATGGAGTAGTTGCCTGCACATGTAAAACTCTTTGCATTCAACCCTTCGTGAAAACTCATGGTAAGTCCACCATAACCTTACTCCCAATGAAGACACAATCTGGACTCCAATATGGCTATAACTCCCTATGTGTAGCTTCCACTTCACTTTGTTACATGCTTCTCTTACCACACAGCTTGTATCCCTCTTCCTTGAACCTAAACAAAGAGATATGTCCTCTTAGTATCTGGAAGAGTTGTGGTGCCTGTAGCCAGAAGTTTTTCTGTGTCCCACCTAGTCCACAGGTTCTCAGACCCAAGTAAAACACACAGAGGCCTATATTAATTAAAACTTCATGGCCATGGCTCAAGCCTTTTGCTAGCTAGCTCTCATATCTTAAATTAGTCCATAATTATTTATCTATGTATCACCACAAGTTCCGTGGCTTTACCTGTATCCCATTACACGTTGCTTCTTGGGCAGCTCCCTGGCATCTCCCCCCATCTTCTTCATTTCTCTTTCTTTGAATTTCCTGCCTGCTTATCCAGCCTATACTGCCTGCCAGGCTACTCGCCAATCAGCATTTTATTAAACCAGTGGACAAAAGCATTATCCCACAGCAGGTGCCCATAGCATATGCAAGGTTAGCAACCACTGTACATTCAAAGACATGAATGATGTTTCTAACATAAAACACCTATTACTTAAAGACAATAATTTGTGTTAAAGAGGAAATGGAAATCAGATACAATAATCTGAAACCTCATGGGAAGACTGGGCATAGATACAATTCTAGCCTAATCCAAGAAGAAAGATCATATCCACAGTTTGAAGGGGAGAAAACCTATGACTTTATCCAGCTTTCATAGTAATTCTTTAGTAACTGAACTGTCATAAATAGAGTAAAATAAGATTATGTGAAAAAAAGTTAGTTATATGAGATCCTGACCTTTACAAACCATGTCTTCCAATATTATATTTTTATTCATATGGAAATCATCATGATCAAGAAGCTGCTTGGTGAGTTGTGGAGATCAGTCCCAATGTATACTCTAGGTTCAGGGAACATTTTGGAAAATGGGATAGAAAGATTGTAAGAGCCAAAGATCAGAAATTTTGCTCTGAGATTATATCTCCTAATAACATCAAAAGCTATGTCTGTAAAATCTCAGCAATATGTGTGCACAAACGTGAGCTGAACAAGGAGGATAACAATGAAACTGCCATACTGGTTGGGAAATTTTCATGATGCCTCAGTTCTTCACAAAATCTACATACAACTGAATAAAGTTCATGGCCGAAGATGTGCTCCTCCCCAGGGAAGAGCACACCAATTGGTTGTCTATGGCCTAACAAACATGTAACATTATACAGATCCAACAATGTTATTTAAGAATATATATATATATATGTATATATATATATATATATGTATATATATATATATGCAATAACAGTAAGAATTCAAATTTTTGAATTCTGACCTCTGAATATATTGTCCTCATATGGTACACAAACATATGTGTTGGCAAAACAGCAATAAACATAAACCAAAAGTAAGTCTGAAAGATAAAAGAGAAATATTATAATTAAAATTCAATCTCACATATAAACAGGAAATGAAAAAGATAAAACTGCACCAGCTCAATCACATCTATATAACTATGAAATGATCCTGTAATAATTTGTCTACTGTTTATAACCGTACCATATGTCACAGTCCCTGCCATTGAGGGAACTGGAACAAGAAATCCTATTTTTGAAAATAATAGAAAAGAAAATAAGGTGCAATTCATAGACTGGACCTGCTCTTTGGTCTCCCAAGAGGAGCACATTCCCTAAAAATGAACCTGTACTGCCTCTTTTGTATGAGACATAAGATGACCACAAGCATTTAAGGAATCACTGACCTGACCATCCCTGCAGCTGTGCCCAGCCTTTCCTGATTTGCATGTGCCCAGAGCACAGCCCACTGCCCTGAGGACTTCTTCATAGTCAGGTCACACCCTGCTCAGGAGTCAGCCTCACACAAGTCACAGCACAAACATGAGGGCCCCCACTCAGCTCCTGGGGTTGCTGCTTCTCTGGTTTAGAGGTAAGGAAGACAGCATTGCAAATGTATACATCTGAGTGTGGTCTGTGCTAGCTGGTCTCTGGGAAAGTCCTCTTATAACAGAATTAATTGCATGGAAATTTGTTTTCAATTTTCCAATCTCAGGAGCCAAATGTGATGTTCAGATGACCCAGTCTCCAGCCTCCTTGTCTGCATCTGTGGGAGAAAGTGTCACCATGACATGCCAAGCAAGTCAGGACATTTATAGTAATTTAGCATGGTATCAGCAGAAACCAGGGAAATCTCCCAAGCTCCTGATCTATGGTGCAAAATACTTGGCAAATGGGGTCCCATCGAGATTCAGTGGCAGTGGATCTGGCACACAGTATTCTCTTAAAATCAGCAGCCTGCAGGCTGAAGACATTGTGACTTATTACTGCCAACAGTATAGTGTTTTTCCTCCCACAGTGATTCAAGTCATAACATAAACCACCCAGGGAAGCAGAAGTGAGAGCCTAGACTGCCTTAATTTCTCTTTTTGTGTTCACTTCTGCTGACAGTATTTATCTTAGGCAGGATTCAAAAGTCAATGTGATATTTTTGTATAGTGTTCATATAAACTTTTCTAAATCCTAAATTTCTGTCCTCTTCTCCAGCACTAGCATTAAAAGTACAGAAGGCTTCTCATAACTTGCATGAAAAAGTATGATTTCTGAGTAGAGTTATGGCAATAGTTCAAATTCAAACAACACAGATGTCAAAACACACACAGAGAGAGAAAGAGACACATACAGAGAGAGAGACAGAGACAGACAGAGAGAGAGAAAGAGAAAGAAAGAAAGAAAGAAAGAAAGAAAGAAAGAAAGAAAGAAAGAAAGAAAGAAAGAAAGAAAGAAAGAAAGAAAGGAAGAAAGAAAGAGGGAGAAAAAGAGAGAGGGACAGAGAGAGCATTAAAAGCACTGGCTACTCTACCAGAGGACTTTGATTCTCAGTACTCGCATGACTTCTAGTAACTGTCTGTAACTCTAGTTCCAGAGCATCTGAACCCCTATTCTGACCTCTGAATATATTGTACTCATATGGTACACAAACATATGTGTTGACAAAACAGCAATAAACATAAACCAAAAGTAAGTCTGAAATATTTGAAAATCTTAAGGGACTAGTATTCAGACAAAATGATACTGAGAAAAGATTATTTTCAGAATCTATAGTCCATTTTTAAATGAAAACAAGTCTTCCTGACCACAGGGTTATCAGCTAGGGTGTAACTTGAATATTATATGTGTGGATGGGAGGAGGCTTTCCTCAGGTAACATTTTGTTCATTTCTCTCCTTACTAGAAAGGCAAGTGTCTTGGTTACTTTATTATTACTGGAACAAAACATATGACCAAGGCAATTTATAAAAGAAAGCATTTAATATGAAGGCTCACAGTCCAAGGTTTGTCCATGACCAACATGGTGGGAAAGACCAGCAGCAGGAAAGTAGACATGACACTGGAACAGGAGCTTAGAACCTGCATCTTTTTTTATTGTTGTTATTTTCAAGGCAAGGTTTCTCTGTGTAGCTTTGAAGATTGTCCTAAAACTCACTGTGTAGATCAAGCTGGCCTAGAACTCACAACTAACTGCCTACCTCCACCTTCCTAGTGCTGGGATTAAAGGTATGTGCCACCACTGCCTGGCTCTAGAACCTGTATCTTTATCTGCAAGTGGCAAGCAGAGAGAGAATGGTTTGGGAATTTGAAACCTTAGAGTACACTGACCATAACACACCTCCTCCAACAAGGCCACACCTCTTAATCATTAGCAAACATCTATCAGTTGGGGGCCAAAGATTCATATGTGTGAGTCTATGGGGAAATTTTTCATTAAAACCACCATAGCATGTACAATTTCTTAGACAGAACACTCTAGGAAAGGACCAAGTCAGAAAGGGGCAGGTTAAGTGTAGTGATAGCTTAGCAACCTTGAACTCAGCTAGGCTTGAGTTACAGACACATCCCTTTCCAAAGAAAATACTTAGCAACTTGGAACTATAACTTCATCAAGCTGCATGCACACCACTCTCCAAACAAAGCAATCAGATCATTCTAACCCATGGTTCCATAGCAGCCTCTAGTATGGCCAATACACATGGAAAGATATAATGAAGTTGTCATTATACAACCCAACCTATAACTGATGTTGGGCACCAGTGTCCTTAAAATAACACTTTATGGAAATCTTTCTATTTGTTATCTTATGCATATGCATGATCTACCACATGTATGATTGCAACCAGAAACATCTGCATCCCCAGTAATGGGGTTAAAGGTATGCACAACCACTGACTGGCCATTTTACTGCAGTTTTTTTTTAAATAATGTGAAGCATGGTGGAAATGGATGTGCCTAACAAGCACTAATACAAGAAAGTTGTAAATCTTTTAATTTATAATAAATAGATTTCATTCTACTACATAAAATATAGGTATAGTACCTTGTATTATCTAGTCTTTAAATTTTAGAGTTTGGAGGTACAAACATATCTACATATATGCATATGCCGCAGTCCCCAACTGTGTTTCTACATACAATGAATCAACTGAGTAATTAAAAAAATATTCTGCCAGGCAGTGGTGGTACATGCCTTTAATCCCAGCACTTGGGAGGCAGAGCCAGGAGGATCTCTGCAAGTTCAAGGCCAGTTTGATCTACACAGTGAGATCTAGGACAGGCACCAAAACTACACAGAGAAACCCTGTCTTAAAAAAACAAAAAACAAACAAAAAAATTCCAAGGCAGTAAATATTCAGTATGATCCTTCTCTCAGGTTTTAAATGTTTGCTTCTTTCTGCACTGTTGTTTATGGTGCCAGTGTTTTTGCTTGACCCTGAGGTGCAGCAACAACAGCAGGAACACCACACAGTCATCCAAGTGACCATGGAGGAAACATCAATACTCCACAGTGAACCATATTATCTAAGCTACATGACAATAGACTACAATTTGTTACTGAAGGATGAATTGTTCTAAATTAGATGGCCTTGGCACAGCATTGTCAACTATAATTCCTGATAATATGTATGCTTAGGGGTTTTCAAAGATTTTATATATATATATATATATATATATATATATATATATATATATATATATATATAAATTGTATTCTTGGCTAATACTTTTTCCAATCTATATAGTTTATCTGAAGTAACTCAAACGTGGATTGGATGTGTGGGTTGGGAATAATAAATTCGCTACTCCATTTACTTATGTATGTTTAATAAATTGTCATCAATATTTCCTAATCTGTTTCAAGTTAGATTTTTTTTCCTGATAAAGTCTGGGTCTCATGTAGCTCTGGCTGGAATTTCCAAAGAGCTGGGACTACTGGAATGCACCATCAGGCCCATTCAATGTTGGGGCTCTAACACAAGGATCTTTTTTTTTTTACAGTAGGCAAAAAGTTGTGATTAACCTGCATCAAAACCCAATATTTTCTTATTTCTTAGTATCCAGTATTGTACTAATGATATATGTGTTCTGAGATATTTATGTGTGATAACCTATGTAGAATTCTTCCTAATTCTGATTATCACATCCACAGGAATAAATATTTCCAAGTTTGATTCATTAGTTTTCTTGAGCACATTAAAATTTGCCATGAACTATTTTTTACTTTTTTCTGGGCTCCACTTGGACAAAGAACCAACCATGACCTTATTTTAACAATCTCTCCAACAGTGGAGGCAATAATACATGTCAAGAACATGACAGTAATTCATTCAAGATCAACATTTGGGCAGTCAGTCATTGTAGCAGTAGGGACAAGAGAAATTTCTAGTTTCTGATTCACTTTGGTTCCAGCATTTTTCACTAGTCCCTGCCCATTTCATAGGTGTGGTCTGGCTCATTTCTTTCCCACAGTCAGTAGAGGCTATAAATCCTAATAATCTCTTGTGTTACAGATGGAGAAAATCCTGTTCTAGGGCTCTGGCCTCAAGCAGTGATCTTCTTGGTTTGGAGTATCAGTGTCACATCTGTTCTCTTTTATATTGGCACTGACTTTAATCCATTACAGAGCTGGTGCTGCTGCTGGATTGAATAACCTTATAACCTGAGAAGAGATTGCTGTTTAGCATCCCAAATACTTTCCAAAGTTGAAAATATAAGGGGCATAGGAAAAAATCATGTCAACCAATGACTTTGAAAGAAAATATTCTACCTAGTACACCTGACATCCTAATCTCCAGCCAGATCTCAAAGGATCATTATAGAAAGTGAAAAGACTAGCAAGGCATGGCATTTCATTAGCTACTGATAAGTCTCTTTTGTCCATTTTTACTACCTTGACTATTGATAATGGTATGAATCTATGGAAATGAACCCTTTTTCCCTGTAGGTTTTTTTTTCTGGTTTGGGAGATTGTCCACAGCTTCTTAAAATTGAGACACTAGGCCAAACCACCCCTATATCTGGGGCCATGAAGAAACTGGCTGTGAACCAATCTGTGTGTGAAATTCATGATCTCCAAAGCCTTGTCACTGTCGTGGAAAGATTCTGCAGGCTTGTGCTTTTTCCTCACTATATGAGTAGCACTTTATTTAATGTGTAGGTTCTCAGTTTCCTTCAAAAATCAATACATAGACCACACTCCAAGGACCTTACTCATGGATTACAATTAGACAAACCCTCTTACTGACACTGAGTTTTTCTCAGTATAATCTCACCCTTTAACACACTTCTTTGGATAGTACATTAACCATTAGTTCAAGAATTAGATCTTTTGTGAACTGTATTGTTATTTTCGCTAAAGCAATGGCATGTACTAGAAAATGGGCTTCTAGAGGAGTGTATGGACAGGGACAGGCTCAGTTCTTTCCATTTTATCATATCTCATGTCCAATAATACCTGTAGAATTTTCTGAGAATGCAAGTTCTTAAAGGAGGTGAAGCTTGAGGTAGCCAGATGAACATGCCCAGAAACTGTGTCAATCCAACATTAAACAGATGTGTCAATAGTGAAGTCTTAATTCCAAGAGAATAAGACAAAATATGATCTTCTCTGTTGATTCCTTCAGATGTGAGGCAGGTCCAGTGCATACAGAGACTGTCTTCCAAGAGATGCTTTCTTGATCTGGGATACGAGTAATAATGAATTTACCCCTTCTTGTCTGTGCAGAACAAACACACTCCATATAATCACCATATGTGTCAATGTCCTGTGCTTCTGTGAAATGCACTAGAGAATGTGAAAGTCAGTATGTGGTTGGGGTAAGTTTTAAGGACAGATAATGAAAAGGCGAGAAATGATAACTGTCACTGAATATTTGCAAAAGGGTCACAAGTCAACTGAAATATAATTTTCATTGGCTGGTTGGAAAGATTGCTCAGCAGTTAAGCACATATCTTGTTCTTGTAGATGACCCAGGTTCAATTCCCAGCACTGACATGGTGGCTTGAAAACACTCCAGTTCCAGGAGATCCAGCATTTAACATACT